ATTTTATTATTTACGTAAATAATTGAATCTCTATAAAAAATTGAATAGTTTATGAAAGTAATGGAATAATTACGAAGAAATTTATAACAAATTTGTAAATAATTGAATTCTTGTGAATTTTTACTATTTATAAAAATAATTATTAAATGTTTTCGTAGAATTTTATCAAAATTTGTTTTAATTTTTAAATAATTGAATTCTTTGGGAAAATTTTATTAAAATAGTAGATATTGAAAATCATTGAATTGAGGAAAATTTTTAAAAATAATTGCAATTTGGCCAAAAATTTTATTATATTTTTTTAAATAATTGACTACTGAAAGTAAAAACATAGTTCTGTCTGACTGAAAGATACTTCTACTACTGAGACTATAATAAAAAATTAACACATTTAGTCTCATTACATCCGCCTTTTACTATACTCTTACTACTGTTAAAATACAAGATTACAATAGAAAATACTTTCTTATTTTTTGCTTTTTTTCTAACTTCTTGTCTTACCTATCGCGGTATTTACTACTGAAAAGTAGCAAAACTTAAATATTGTCTGACCAAAACTGACCTGTACTACTGTTAAAATCCAACATCACAAAAGACAATATTTTCTACTACCAGCTTTTTTCAAATGCCTTGTCTGACTATAAGCAGCATTTACTACTGAAGATTATCAAAAATCCTAATATTGTCTGACCAAAACTGACTCGTACTACTATTAAAATGCAAGCTAACCCGAAAAAATATTTTCCACAACTAAAAATTAATTTTCCTCTTGTCTCTAATCAAAAACCAAGTCATATCTACTCTAAAAATAAAAAATCACAAAAAACAATATTTTCTACCACTAAAAATAAACTCTCCTTCTCGAATAGTCAAAGAAAACGAATCATATCAACATAAAATTCCATCTCACAAAGTAGAGCATACCCACCCGACGTCTCAATTAAAAGAAATTCCTTAGTGTCTATTCGCGTGACCGTAAAAGCCATTTCCGAACGCAGTAAAAAAAAAAAGGAACGTAAAGGGCAGACAAATACTTCTTCGGTCAGACAAATACGATTCTGGTTAGACTAAGAGAGCAAGGTGGGGAGGGTGAAAAAGAGAGGAAATTAGTAGCAAAGCAAACTAGTGAAAGGGTGAGAAAGGGAAAGGGAGTGAGTGAGTGAAAGAGAGAGAGAGAGAGGAGAGAGCTTAGAGGTTCTCTTTGTGTATAAAGGTGTATGAAAGGGGTGTTAGGTTAGGTCTAATTGGGTGGAGACTCGATTACGAGTTACTCCACACAGTCCACACAAAACACTATTTCCCAACGCGACACACGTATACAATTCAAGCTGACTGGTCAAGAAATAAAACTGTGCCAAGAGGCAAACTTTTTTTTTCACCACAAAAAAAAATTTATCTCTCCTACTGTACTTTCCTTTTTTCCCCTCTATTTTCCTTTTTCTTCCACTTTCCCTCTTGGAAAAAATTGTCACAGCAAAAATAAGTTGCTCATCGAAAAAATACATATGTGTGGAATGCTGTCTCTCTCATTCCCCCCCCATCTTTATCTACATTTTTTTCCTCGTTTCCTCTTTCTCTCTCTCTCTCTTTCTTTCTTTTTTCTATCCTTCTTTCTCTCTCTCTCTCTCTGTCTTTTTTTCCCTCTCTCTGTATTTTTCTGACTTTTTCTCTCTCTTTTTCTGTTATTCTGTAAGTAGAGATCTTTAGAAAAGATACGTGACCCAAAGAGATCAGGTCACGATCCAACGTCTAAAATTTAACCCTGAGGGCTTTACCACCTCTGAGTTAAAGCGCAACGCGCGCGCACGTCCCAAGGCTTCGTTCCTTTGCCATCTCACGTCCCTTGACACAGAAATTAACCTCAATTTCATTACCAACTCGAAAAAATATAAAAAAAAAAAAGAAAACGAATGACAATTTCCAAGTCGTCTGGATCTTAAATTAACTCTTGAAAATTATGCAAGACGTCACTATATTTAGTGCGAGAAGAAAAAAAATTTTTTTAAGACTTCAATTTCGTGCCAAAAAATTTTTTTTTTTTATAAAGACATTACTGGATTCTATGACAAATGTAATTTACTACTGCCATCGCATGGAAATGGTAGAAATTTATTTTTGAATTTAGTCCAAGGAAATATTAAAGTAATTCTAATAAAAGGATTTTTAGAAATAAATGAAATCATTTCGAGAAAATTAGAGGTAAATGGAAAGAAAAGTTTCTTGGGGAAAAGAAAATATATATTTTTTGGTTATTATGGAAAGAATATTTAGAAAATAATTTCCATTTTTAAAATTCGTATTTGTTTCTGGAAATTGGTTTTGAATTAGTAGTGAGAAAAATAATTTTCTTAAGTCAGAAGTAGAAAAATAGAAATCAATTATAATCAGACGGAGACTATAATACAATTAATATTTTAATAAATAAATTCATTATTATAAAAATGCAATAAATAAATAATAACAGTATAATAAATACATTAGTCTTTAACAGTAATTTTAGTCAGTCAGAAAAAAAATTAAAACCCAAAGTAAATCAAAATTCAAAAGACGAATAAAATTAAAAGTCAAAGTCAAAGGCAAATCAAAGTTAAAAATTGAAAATCAAAGTCAAAACCAAATTGGATTTTATAAAGTGCAAAGTAAACTCAAATTGAACGACAAATTGAGAGTCAAAAACGAAATTAAAACTCAAAATAAATTTTAAATCGAAAGAACATTAAAAAACAAATAAAATAAAAAAAAGTCAATGGCGAAAATCGTGACTAAAATTGAAAGTCAAAATAAAAATCAAATTTAAAAATAGAAGCAAAGAACAAAATTGAAATCAAATTCAAGATTGTGTAGTATTGAACGTTAAAAATCAAATAGAACTAAAAATGAAAATAAAAAAACGCCAATTGCGCCCCGGGGGAAAAAAGATTTCTCTTTAAAAACAGATTTTTTAAAGTAACTGAAAATATAGGTATGTATTTGTAAAGTGAAAATATTTTGCCAAGAAACTATTTCCTTCGGAAAACAACAATTTACACAATATAACTTGAGAAAATTTTTCTTCATGAATTCCAAAGTAGTAAAAATTTACAATAATAGTGGCACACATACCAAGAAATAGAAAAATGTTTCTTAAAAAACTTTCTTTTTACGTCTTTTCAAAACTATTAAGAAACTTTCAAAATTTAAGAGAAAGAAAAGTTTATAGAAAAAAAGAATATAAATAAGTAGAAATAAAGTAAAAATATAATAAGTAAAATAATAAACTAATAATATTAAAACAATAAATTATGAATTAATTATTAATAAATTATAACAAATAATAAATAACAATAATATAATAATTAAAAATAAAACTCTATAATAATTATAATAATTAATAGTTAATAATTAATAATTAAATTCGCTATAAATAATTATAATTTATTTCTCAAATAATCAAGTAATGAAGTATATATAATTTTTAGAAAAAAGGTCGACAAAAAAACTAATAAATTAAAATTAGTCTTTAAATTTGTAGCGTATAAAAAACTACAATTTCATTCTTCAATAATTTAATATTAGTTTCAATAATTAAATACTGAAAAAATGTGTTCGATAATAATTAACGATTTCTATCAAAATCTAATTATATAATAATAATAATTGGCATATTCTGTCGATATTTGTCCATAGTCAAATTAGTTCTTTTATATCCAATTGCTTTTTACATATACTTTAAATAGTCTTATAAGTAAAAACGTGTCCACTTTTAAAATATTTATTTAAACCCCTTTTTTGTTTAAAATTCAATTCGTTAAAAATTTAATTTGTGAAAGTTTAATTCGTTAAAAATTTAATTTAATTATAATTTATTAATTCGTTAAAAATACAATTCTTTAAAAAAGTACATAAGTAAAAAATTTAATTTATTAGAAATTTAATTCGTTAAAAATTTAATTTGTTAAAAGTTTAATTTGTTAAAAATATTTTTATTAAAAAATCTAGTTTACTATTTAATAATATAGTTGAACGAAACAATAATTTTGAAAAAAATTTTCTACATATTTTAAAAAATTATTTAACAAAAACTCGGAAAACATTTTTAATATTTAACTTGTTACTTAATTAAAATTAAATTTTTATTCACTACCTATTCGCTTTTAAATTTTTATTTAAAATAATATTTTCGATTCCATTGACACTATTAAATTTTTTATTTAATTTTATGAACATTTTGAAGAATATGTCACATTTTAAATCGATTTAAAATAAAAATTAAAAAATCTTATAAAAAATTACTCTTGTCAACCCTATATAAAATGAATTGTACTAATTATTTATTAACTAATAAATTATTTTTATTTAAAATTCGAATTTCAAAATTACTTTCGTTTATAATTCAAATTTGTAAATTATTTTCATTTATAATTTTAATTTTTAAATTCTAATTTAAAATTATATTAATTCAAAAGTCAAAAATTCCAATTTATAAACTATTTTAATTTATAGTTTTAATTTAAAAATTATAATTTAAATATATATTAATTCCAAATTCAAAAATTTCGATTCATAGACTATTTTAATTTATAATTTTAATTTAAAAATTAAATATGATATACTATAATAAAGGATTAAAATTCTAATTAATAATAAAAAACAATAACTAAATTTCTTAGAAAAACTAAATTATCAAAAAAGAGTAATAATAAAAAAATAGTTTTTTTTCAAATAATGATTTTATGAAAATTACTTCTTACTATCCCCTTAAGACGAGTATTTTTCAAAGAGTAATTACTTCATACCACGAAAAATGACGAGCAAAAGGTAAAGAGGTGCACTTTCCCTACAAAACTCTTCACTCGAAGTCATTAATCTCTCGACAGATATAAACTTTACCCTCTCTCTTCACCCCTTTTCACTTTACTACACTCTTTCATCTTGTACTCAGCAACAGATGCACGATTAGTTATAAAATATAATCTATTTTTCTCATAATTTTTTTGTCTTCCTTTGCTTTTTGTTTACAGTTATTGGCCTTATGATCTCCTGAAGACATTTCTTTTTTTTTGGTGCAGCAGAACATGAAGACTGATCGCCTCTCAACATTGCCCTGGATCTATATTCTGCTGACACTTCTGGGCTCTATTTTTCATGTCGAAACATTCGATATTAGTAAGTTTAACAAATTTTCTTAACTATTTTTAATTCTTCTTTTATTATCAGAAATATTTTGTTAAATTCGAAAACAACATTTTGATAATTAACTCATAATATTAAAATGTTAATAAATTTCTTTATTTTAATGGTTAATAGGTAATAAAAGTTCCTACAATTAGAGAATTTTATTTTCTCTGTAAAATAGAAAGGGAAATATTCTAATGAAATTATTTTTGTCCCCAATCTTTTCGTGTTTGAAGAATTCTATCATACCCACACTTACTTATTTTCCACTTCATGTTTGAATAATAAAAAAAGGAAAAAGGCAATGTTCGTGAATCTATAACACGAATACATTACAGGTCAAGTGATGAAATGCTAATGAGTAAATATGGCTTTCTTTTTTTCTCTCTATAGTTGAAATCTGCAATTAGTGACAAAAGCTTTGAAAAGTATATTACTATTAATTGCACCTGAATCCATTATATGAAAGTGATCAACCTTATCAATATATTACATCAATGTGTGTTGCTTTTGTCAAACACTTTTCCATTTTTTTTCACATCAATCCTCGTGACAACTTTCTTTTTTTTTTCTTTATAATAGAGGGAGAAGTAAAAATCCCTTTGTAGAATTTCTTTTTGATATTGGAATGAACACATTATTCATTTGTTGAAACTCAATAATCATGAATTAAATTAAAAAAGAAAAAACTAAAGCATCGAGAAAAAAAGACAAAAAAATGAAAAGAGAAAAAACAAAATATCAAACAATGGAAATGACAAAAGAAAAAAAGGAAATAAAATAGAAAAGATAAAATACTAAAAGAAGAAAAAAATGCAAAAGAAAAATACAAGAAAGAAGAAAACAATATAAAAGAAAATTTACGAAAAAAGAAACAAAAATAGAAATAAAAACAATCGAGAATACAAAAACAAGAAAAGTGAAAAAATGAAAACACAACAAAAATTATAAAAGATTGAAAGAAAATAAATAAAAATACAAAAGAGTAAATTTAAAAGAAATTAAAATACATAAGGAAATTAAAGAAAAAAGAAATTAAAATTGGAAAAGAAAAAAGAAAACTATGAAAAAGTAGAAAAAATACAAAAGAAAATTCAAGAAAAAAGAAATAAAAACTAAAATGAAGAAAACCAAAATTACAAAAACAAAAAAAACAGAAAAAGTAGAAAACTCAAAAGAAAACTCAAAATAGAAAAAAAGAAATTAAAACATAAGTAAAGAGAAAATACAAACATTAATTTAAAAAAGCAAAAATAGAAATGCAAAAAAGAAAAAGAAGGATAAACAAAAGTCAAAAAATACAACAACAAAAAATAGTAAAATAGAAATGAGAAACGATAAATAAAATTAGAAAAGAAAAAAGAAAGGACAATAATAGAAACAAAAGAAAATAAATAAACGAAAAAAAATAAAAACACAAAAGAAGAAAAAGAACAATAATTGTATAATTTTCCAGAATTTTAATTGTAATAAGGAAAAAATTATAAGAAAAAAGAAAATTCAACATACAATAAAAAGTGAAAAAATGTAAACACAAAAGAAAAAAAATTATAAAAGATTAAAAGAAAATAAATAAAAAAAGTAAATTTAAAAGAAATACGAACATACATAAGGAAATTAAAGAAAAAAGAAATGAAAATTGGAAAAGGAAAAAGAAAACTATGAAAAAGTTGAAAAAGTACAAAAGAAAATTCAAGAAAAAATAAATAAAAACTAAAATGAAGAAAACCAAAATTACAAAAACAAAAAATAGAAAAAGTAGAAAACTCTAAAGAAAAAAAAAAATGCAAAAGAAAAGAGAAAATTGAAGAAAATAAAAAAAAAGGAAAATACAAAGAATAAGAAAAAACTGTAAAAAATAAGAAAAAAGAAACGAAAATTGAAATAAAAAATACCAAAAATACAAAATAAAGAAGAAAATAAAAAAAAATAAAAAAAGTATTATAGAAAATAAAATAGAAAAACAGAATATATATAAAAAAATGAAAAATACATAAGAAATAAGTAAATACAATTGAAAAAAGAAAATTCAACATAAGAAAAGAAAAAGTTAAAAAAAATAAAAAAACTTTTAAAAGATAAAAGAATAATAAAAAGGAAATAAGAAAACAAAAATAAAGAAAAGATTAGAAATTAAAAAATAAAGTACAATAGAAAAAAATAAATAAAACAGAAGTAAAGAGAAAAAACAAAAAAAAATTTAAAAAAGCAAAAATAGAAATGCAAAAAAGAAAAAAAAAGTCAAAAAAAACACAACAACAAAAAATAGTGAAATAGAAAATACAAATGAAAAAATAGAAATTAGAAACGATAAATAAAATTAGAAAAGAAAAAAGAAAGTACAATAGAAAAAAAAGAAAATAAATAAACGAAAAAAATAAAGACACAAAGAAGAAAAAAAACAATAATTGTATAATTTCCCAGAATTTTAATTGTAATAAAAAAAAGGAGGGGCTCATTTAAAAAAGTGACTTTTCCCTGCTTTGTAGATTGTTACCAGTAGCCCAATTAATGCCAGAGTAAAACGAGCGAAGCGTAAAGTCTAGCACCAGAAGGCTCGTCGTTGTCGTTGCAAAAAAAAAAAAAAAAATTGAAAAATATTGTGGGGTAAAATTGAAAACTGTGAATCATTTCTTTTTAACAAGAGAAATCAATATCGTTGCCGAGGCTATGATGGAAAAACTAGGTCAGTGCGAGACAAAAATTTATTCCACCTAATTTGCTATATAAATTGAACGTGAATATATATATTTTTTTTTCTTCCTTCGTTTTTTTTGTGCACAATACCCGAACGTATTTCATAGCGACAAATACACTGACGGATCGTAGCTTTTCATTTTTTTTTTCAACTAATAAATACCATTTCCCCTGTTAAATGAAGTGTTAAAAAAATACATGTCCTCACATAATGTCAAAATTAATTCTCCCTGTTGGTGTGTGTGTGTGTTGAATTCTATTTGGTTGAAATTTATTTATCGCTAAATTAATTTGTCCCATTGTTTATTTTCAACACTAAAATAACAGACAATTAAATAAAAGTCATTTTATTCGTAAATAAATTTTTTAACACGTTTTTTTGTGATTTATATTTAAAGTTCAAAATACTATAAATAAATTTGCGAACACTGTTTATAAATATTTATACAAAAATATTTATTCAATTACAGAAATATTGGATTTATTAAAATATATTATTAACAATTATCAACAAGAGAAATAAAAAGAATTTATAAAAGCAAATTGTTTTCAATTTTCGAATTTATTCACAAATAAAATTCAATATAGATTGTATAAAAGTAATATTTCATTATTATTTAAAAGAAATATTTATTGTGATTGTACATACGAAAAATGAAAAACAATTTTTTAACTAAATTATTTTGACTTCAATTTAATTAAAACATTCTTTTCCTCTCCCCCGTTTTCATATATTGAAAAATCAATAATTACATTTTTTTGAAAATAATAAATAAATATTTAATAAAAAAAATTCCAATTACTTTACTGGAAAAATGTGCGGTTAAATAATCATTGAAAAATTCGATTCAATCAAATCTCTCTTTCTCCCTTTTCCGATTTTTATTATGTACTTTGTTTACTTATATCAATTTTATGAAAAATTTATCTCTCTTTTTAATGAAATTAATTAATTTAATTTTAATTTATAAATTAAATTTGTCATCAGTAGTAGATACCAAGATTAAAAAGACAAAGACAAATTTTTGGTTTATTTTTTTTCTTGATATATAAGAAATTAAAAATTTACAAATTATCAATATTTTTATACAAAATAATAGAAATGTTATGAAAAATAAAAACTCTCTAAATTTCAATTATTAAAAATGTTTATTAATTTAAGTTAGTGACTGACTTCTTGATTTTTAATTAATGAATTGTACTAAAAAATTATTCGAAATTACTATATATTAGTAAAATTAGTAAAAATTGGAAGAAATTACTATTTATTAGTAATAATTAAAAAAAATTAGCAGAAATTACTATTTATTAGTAAAAAAGTAAAAATTAAAAGCAGTTACTATTTATTAGTAAAATTAGTAAAAATTAGCTGAAATTACTATTCATTAGTAAAATAAGTAAAAATTAGTAGCAATTACTATTTATTATTAAAATTAGTAAAAATTACTATTTATTAGTAAAATTTACGAAATCAAAAGAAAGAGTCAGTCACTAATTCAAATTAATAAACATTTTTACTAATTCAAATTTGAAGAGTAATATTTAAATAACCACAAACATTATTTTATACATTAGTCTGATTTTTCGTAAAATTTTAGCCAATATTCATCTCTTTTTCCGTTAATTATTAAATATCAGTGGAAAAAACCTTTTTTTAAATTTTTCATTCAGGAATGTTGACAGTTAAATATTTAACGATGAAAACAGTTTTTTCCTCTTTGTACTTTTATGTATATAATTAAAAGTTTACCCTCCAAATATTTGCTAATTATGATTAATTTTCAATCAAAAATTTTGCTCCAAAATTTGTTTGTTTAAATTAAAAAGAAAATAATTTTTAAATGAAAGGAAATAAAAATATTGAATATACTTTTAATTATATTTTTAAATCACGTATTTACTTGAAATTTGAATAGAAAGTCGATTAACATTTAATGAGAAATAAATTATAATGAGAAAAAAAATTAACTCTTCTTTTAAGAATATTGAAATTTATTTAAACATATACAAAAGAAGAATAAAAGGGGAGCAAATTTAGTTGAGAGCTTTCGATAAAAAAGACAATAGTCCCCCTTCGGTTAGTAGATTGTTTATCGATTAAACAAGCGCACTACTCTAGGTTAACGCTTTCTTTAACCCTTTAAGAACTCATGTTATTTAAGTGTTTCCCATTCAATCTTTTCATTTCTCGAAAATTACAAATTTTATTTATAAATATTATATTTTCATATTATTTTCAATTATGTAATATTTTTCAATAATAATTTTATTTCTTTGTTTATTTCTATACTCTC